TGGGAAGTGTGTCTGAACATCTTTCCACCGGCCTGGGAATCGAACCTGCGACATCTCGCTTGCGAGGCAAGAGCGGTACCGCTCTACCCACCTGCACCCCTAATTTAACGAGTTTGTGATTCGTGATTTCGACGATTCGCGGTAAGCAGATGGTGGCTATCTTGCAAGCCTTTTCCGCAGCACAACAAGTTAACCCATGCAGCATCTTGTGTTATATTCTCAAAACTTTAGTGTTTCTGTGTGAAATGGCCCCTAAAAGACTGCCTAGCGTCAATGCTAGTGGAGTGAAATGTAAAAGGCAGAAGTCAGTGATGACCCTGACAAAGAAAATTTTACTATTAGATAACTTAAAAGAGGGGATAAGTGCTGCCGTGGCTGGTCAGTTGTTTGGTATAGGTACAGTAAGTCCTCGTATAACGCTGTGCCGCTTAACGAAAATTGAGGTCTTAAACCGTTTTGAGAGGGAGGAGGAGCCACCCGCCGGGTCTCAGTGAATTGCTACTCCTCCTCCTCCTCTCCCAACATACTCCTCCCCTCCCACCATCTGCGTCCACCGCAAACTTGCTCTACCACCTCCGCCCATCGGTGAGTACCAACGGAGAGTCCCTCAACACGTGATGATGAGGAAGACTTCAACTTCTTGTGGGTTGCGATTATTGTGTCGGTGCTGCTGATGAGTCTCCTCGTTGTATGTCTCGGCTTCTGCCTCAAGAAGCGACAACAGGCTGGAGCAAAAAACCGCTTCTCTCTCCAGCAGAACACCAACGAGACGTCCGTAAAATACCACTCATCAGCAGGTTCTTCCTCGTGCTCCATCCATATGGGTAACACGAGTGGAGGACTTCCAAGGTCGTGTAATCCGCCTTCACGTCCTTCTTTGCCTCCTCCCTGTGTGCCACCGCCTCTTTCCACATCCCAAGGGAAGCCCCAACTCCAGCTGCCACCAGGGGTTACGGAAGGAGGCGTGCAGCATAAGGACGTTAAACGGGGCGTGACAGATGAAAATGATTATTGCAACGCTTTCTTTGATCTAGATGCGGGGAATCAACTTGAGAAAGAAAAGGAGGAAGGGATGAAAAAAACGAGAGAATGGGAGAAGGAAGAGGGTGAGGGAAACTTATTCAATTATAAGTCTGACAACTCCTTATGTAAACGATTCAATGAAAATGAGGAAATATGATCAGAGAATAACTGAGAAGATAAAAAAGAAAACTAGAAAGGTTTGAGTGTGTGGAAGGTCTAGGCCCAGGGCAACAACTTGTGACCATTCATGTAATACTAAGTCGAGTGTCCTTACCTGGAGCTGGCGGATGCTCGCCCCACAAGGGGTCACAGCTCGAGGCTGAAGAAGCCGCAGGTCCAGAAAACTGTGAGGGCAAACTTTTTCGGAGTGAGAATTGTGAACTCTTGGAACAATCTGTCAGAAAGTGTTGTGACGGCACCGGGTGTGAGCTCTTTTAAGACCAGACTTAACCAACACTGGAGCAGGTTCAAGTACATTCAGGAGCCGGTGCATGCCCAGTACTTGCCAACAGTGCGTAACAGAAACGTGACCCATCGCTTAAGCGGCTAATGAGCCGATCAGTGGTGAAGAGGATAAAGCAATACAAACTTAGTAGCTGTATATGCATGCACTATTTTCTATAGAAATGGCAGTGATTTTCTGTATATGTAATGTATTTCATGGGGCAAAGGGAGGCTCAGGAATGTAACTCCCGCATTTTATCTATTTCTTATGTGGAAAATTGATAAGCTTAACATTGTTTTGTATAACGTCGTGTTTTCAGGAACGTAATCCCGACATTAAGCGAGGACTTACTGTATACAGTAGTGCACTTAAGTAGTATAAGTTGCTATTAGCGGTTTTGCCTATTCGTGCCCTTTCTTGTAACCTATTTCTCCCTAATGGCAAGGGTTTACTGTACTGTACTGTACTGCATATTACCCTCTATAAATTATTTGTTTGTCATCTGAACATCACCTTAAATATTATTCATTCTTTTGTATTTTTTTAAGGGAGATATTTGAAAAAATGAAGATGATATATGAAAAGGATTTCAAGAATTACCCACTTGCTTATGACTCGGAAAGGAATGCATACAGTGTGGGTGTCATCCCTGCTCTTCAAACTCCTGATTGCCAGAGTACTTATGAGGCGAGTATTTATTAAATATGTAGAAATGTGATTTTGAAATATCTAATGATATAATGTGTGTTGCTAGCAATCGGTTTGAGTAAAGATTCTTTGAAGAGAGGTTAAAACATTGAGCTTTCATGCCAAAAGATCACACGGTCTCAATATTTTTCCTTCTCCAATTGTTCAGAAATTTATTACAGTTATAGGCTCTGTACATGCATGATGAATCCAAAATTGCATTTCAGTAAGTTGTGACCTAAACTGCTATATAGTATGTAAATACACAGTAGGTTATGAAGGTGTGCATGCTGGAAAAGTCTTTGGTACAAGGAATACTTAAGTGTCACAATAATGCAGCTCACA